ATTCAATTCAATCAAGGTACATCCCAAGGTAAAAGTGTGCGTGGCGTTGAGCAGGTGATCGAGCAGCGCATGGCGGCCGTGGAGCAGGTGTACGTGGGGTCGCCGGTGGAGCGGCTGGTGGCGACGGAGCTGCTGCGCTTCCTGCACCGCAACCGCCACCTGCTGCCCATGTACGCGCACCCCATGCGCGTGCGCGAGGTGCTGCGCGGCGCGCACCACTCGCCCTTCCACCGCACGCCGCGCTGGAAGTTCGACCTCTGACCTCCCCCTCCCCCCGCGGCCACGCCCCTCACGGCACACGTTGCTTGCCTTCGCTGTACCCGTTGCACGCTCCTCACTACCCACTCCTAGTCACTCCCTGTCACGTCACGTCTTCCCCGCAACACCCTGCCTCGCCTCGCCATGTCACACATTGCTTGCCTTCGCTCTCCCGATTCAGCCACGCCTCTAACCGTTGCACGTACATCACTACCCACTCTAGTCACTCCCTGTCACGTCACGTTACGTATTACGATGTTCATCCACGCTTCTTCTTCCCCGCCTTATCCTGCCTTGCCTCACCATGTCTCCCCACATACCGCTTGATCCCCCCTCCAGATTCAGCCACGCTCCTACCCACAGCACACACTTCTCAACCCACTCCTAGGCATTTCTTGTCGCGTCACGTTACGCTTTACGCTGTTTGTCCACACTTCTTCTTCCCCGCCACGCCCTTCCTCGCCTCGCCATGTCACACATTGCTTGCTTTCGCTCTCCCGATTCAACCACGCTGCTACCCATTGCACGCACCTCACTACCCACTCTAGTCATTCCTTGACACGTCACGTTACGCCTCAGCCACGCCACTCCGTGCCTCTCTACATCACGTTCCTCCCGGTTCCGTCAGGCTTCTCACGTCCCCCGCCAAACAAGACCACGTCCCGATCACCGTTTTCTTTCACCCAGCTACGCCAAGCCTCGCCTTTTCGTTCCCTCCGCCACTTTTGTCTTTGTTCTGCCACCTTACGGCAAGTTCTTCCCGGCCTCACCTCTCCCGGGACGCCTCCGACGCCACTTGCAAAGACTCCGCCTTCGCCTCCGTATTTGGCACCGAAGAGGAAAATGTGATATTGAAATAAAACTCAACGTCCTCTTCTTGAAAAAGTCCAATATTCGTTTGCAATTGCAAAAATCTTTGTCAGGCTGCTTTATATATAGTATTTTATATATTTGTATAGAACAATAAATACATTATGAGTGAAAATTGATTCATGCAATTATCTGGTAGTTTTAATCTAACATATCAGGAGATATATCGAGTTTATTAACCAAATGTTGATTAAAAATTTAAAAATATCGTCAAACGATTATTGGTAGCTCCAGGACTCCTTAAAAATATTACTAAAAATGATAGGAAAAAAATGTAAGAAACATAATAAAACATATATATGGAACCAGACTCTGCTGTGAATCACCTTGTCAACAATACGAAATTTAACAGCAATGTCAAGGTAGATTTTCTTGATGGTGATGATACAACAATTTTACATGAACAACAAGCCACTAAACAAAAAATGACAAAAACCGGTCATAGTTTTTACTAGAAATTGGTAGGAACTTATTAAATATTTAAATTCTTGCCGCTTAATGTAATTAAATATTTTAAAGAATGTTTCACGTATGCAATTACTCAAAATCAGCATAACCTTGCAGGTCTGGCACATTCTCTTCGGAAAACGGAAAACCATGCTTTTACCCTACATGATAATTGTGATACTTGATGTAAGGCTCTTTTAGAGGCAAACTATGTTTTTAAGAATTTGCCACAAAGAAAACCTATTAAGTGTTCATCATTGGATAATCAGTTTCAATCATTGTTAGAAACTTTTGTTGATGTAGCCGCGAAGGTTTGCGTTATGAGGTTCATCACAGCAGAACGAGTCCTTTAATCAAACGGCTGAGACTCGGGCTTCAAAGAGTCGCTTTTTTTTTTGTCTTCCCCTTCCTTGGCATAAACAAACATCAACAGCTGTACTGCAAAAAATGAAGGGGCTGACCATCTGATCACAATCCATGAAAAAGCGAGTCTTTCAGCTGCAGATGAGGCCAGGAGATGTTGGCGGCGAAAGGAAGCGAGAAGGCAAATTGTTCGCAGATAATATGAAAATGGGTCAAAACAAGACAGCTTTTCAGCAAATACAGCATTAAGAATCTGGAAAATTCACGACTTGAAGAATTTACTTATTTAAGCACTGTGGAGGAAGCAGCCACAGCAACTTTGGCATCAAATACATAGATCCCTGACTTCTCACCTCTGCAAGAGTTGTGAACTGTAGTAATTGTTAACATAGAAACGTCTGGGTTTTAAAAAGAGACGGAAGTTGTTAAAATTCTGCTCATAGTTCATCCTCCTCCTTCAATACTTTCATGTTGACTCGGAAGAGCATTCATAGTAATGCATCTGCTGCTACTGGATAGACAGTGAACAATAATTGTTTGTTCCATTTCTATCAGTCACAAGATACGATTCATCACACGTCATCACGCCCCAGCACAAGCTGCTGAAGATTTTGTAGCTTTTCTGCATACTTTTAAATTTCAGGTTTTGCTTTTTTCGCATAATATTACAAAATTTGATGCCTCCAAAATTTTGCTTGGTTGAGGCAACATATCATAGAGAAAACTGCATTTTCTTTCTTCCATGGTTTTACAGAAATCATTCCGCTTCTTCGCCAGGGCAAAGTAGTTAAATTAGAAGTTTTAGCCAAGCTTTTTCTCCTCGGATCTGAATGGGAGGCAATACACTCTAGGGTGCGAATGCAGATACTAGTTACTTACTTTTAATTGGTTATAATGATCTCGAGCATTTTGTCGCCGCTCAATCACTAGAACCCTTAAAACGCCCTTGGTGCATAATAACTATTGTGTTTCAACAGGGTTAATTTGTTTTTGTTTTTTAAAACAAATACCCCTTCCTAATGATATTCAAATGGGCAATGTTCAATCACCTAGACTTTTATTTATAAAATAAATCTCATCTGAGTTAAAATTTTCCAGGCCTGGAAGGTATCAGCATCAAGTTATTGGTATTGTAAATAGTATTATGTGTGAACTCGAGAAGTCAAATGGAGTTGATTCATCGAGAAAGCCCATGCTAGAATATTTAAAAAGCAATATTCTAAGTTAGTACTAAACGAAGTAAGTTTCATTGATGCACTGTTGGATCCTGGACTGAAAAGTCGAGTTTTCCACAATGATCCAGGGTTCGAGGGTGAGAGGAAAAGAACGTTGGCCCTAGCAAGTCAAGAGGTAGATCCAGTGGCTACAAAAGATGAGGTAAGAATTTTTGATTTCTATTGTAATTTTAAACAGTACTAGTGTTTTATCCACGATTTCAATATTTCTATACATAAAGAATTTGTCTAAAACCACAAAATTCAACATCTTATGCTTCCCAAAAAATTGTCGACACAATGTTTATTTCCAAAACTTTTTTCAGTGAAGTCCTCAATAGACACTAAACTAAAAAATAAATACATATCCGTCTGGTATGCATGAATTTCAAGATTGTTTATTAAAATCTTATGCATCTACTTTTATACACTCAATAAACACACATTTTAATGTTTCTTTATGGACAGGAATATTTCCAGATATTTTCAAAACAGTAAAAATTAAGACACCTTTTCAAAAAGAGGATGAAAATAAATTCAAAATTACCGGCCAATTTCTCTTTTGTCAGTTTTTTCAAAAATATCAGAGTGGCTTTCCTATATGTGAATGGAAACTTTTCTCAGGAAAAACGTACCATTTTCAGATTCACAACAAGTTTTAGAAAATCAAAATCGAACATTTTTCATTTCCTTAAAGATGTTTCTTTAATGGACCGAAATGTATTGATCCAATTCTAATTCTAATATTTTTAAATCTTTTGAAAATTGTAAGAAACAATTTCTATCTTTGGCTTTGTAGTTGTAGTAAGATTCCAAAAAACTTTTTAACTTATTAAATTTGCGAAAAATCATAGATGTTAACGAAAATGTGAACTTAATTAGAAAATTAATTAAATTAATTAGAAATTTAGTTTAATTAGAAAATTAAATTAGAAAATGGAGCCATGTTTGAGAAAAAGTCAAAAATGCTGAGACGTCATATTAAAAACTAAATATCGAAATATCCATTTCAAACTTGCAAGGCCTCGACTTCCCTCAGATTATTCATATTAGGGAATATTAATTTTGGAGAAAATCATCTGAATATTTGAAGGTGTTTTTCAATTTGAATAATAACTACTTCCTACAAGTGCATATTTTTCAAGTTAGAAATACAAAGTGAGCTATTTTCAGTACTTACAAGGTGGCAGAGCTGAAATTTTGATTCAGTATGGCAAAAAATGAACAGAATGTTAGAGGGGAAAAAACTTCTATGTTTTCCCCCAATAAACTTCCACTTCATTGGAATAGTTAATTTCAATTAACTTTGTTGCAATACTGTGCCAATCAAAGAATTACTTAAATTCTCATTCAAATATTTTACCAGAAGCAAGCAGACTTGTCAGGAAAATGTTTGATACCTTTATAACACAAGATAAATATTCTTAAACAATATTCGTGCAACTAAACTTTTGGCACAATTTTTAAGTAAATATTAATAATTTTATTGATGACTGTGTCTTCTGAGAAATCAGTTCCTGATATTCAAGTTGTTTTTTATCTAAATATATTTTCTTTAGTATGAAATACTCAACAAGATATGTCGGAAAAAAATGAAATGTAAATGTACTGAAGAACCACGAAGTCAGGGAAATTAAATCCATAAAAAAAGAGTGGCCACCCTGTTGGATCAATTAACAAATAAATAAGATCACCACTTATCCCATAAAAGACATGAATATATTTGTTTAGAAAGAAAAATTAACACAGAAATAAAAACACACTCAATTTTCACAGTTCGACTGCATTTTTATTTCTGTGTTAATTGTTCTTTCTGAAAAATGATACTTTTTTTTGGAAAATAATAATCAATTAACATGTTTCTGGAGTGTTTATAAGCTTCTACAATGCGAATTTTTGCCTAGAAAGCATTTTTTCAAACCAACTTTTGAGTGCTTAATGCGGCTCAGCCATTCGGAATATCAGACACAAAATTGTCTTAAGAACTTATTTTCAAAGTTTCAACTTTTCCTCTCTGGACACCTGTATATATTCTAACACAGGTTTAAAAGCAAATTTCAAGAAATAAGAATTTGAATTTCTCAATATCATTTTAAACAGAGTCCTCTGTAATTTAATTTGAGTACTTCACTAATCACTTCTACAATTTACAAACCTAATTGAACATACATAATTCAAATAGTTTTAACTTGTGGGTTTTCTTGAAAATGCATTCACCTATACACACACTTCTCACATTTAATAAAATAGAAATGGAAATTCAGAACTATTAATAGGATCTAATAATTACTGAGTAGTTTAGAAATACTACTGAACTACAAATTACTTTCTTTCATGCATTATCAGAATTAGAATATGATTCAGAAATTAGATACAGAGAATTTGAGGCAAAGACTAAGAAACAGGAAAATGAAAGATCATTGATGAGGGAAACAAAAGTACATTGGTCAACAGTTGTTTAATTAGAGATTCAAAAGAATCTACAAATAATCATGAAAAGACATTTCAAAAATCAACATTTTACAATCTTCAAAACTATTCTCTTAGCATAAAGCGATAATGAACTTGAATGCAATCTAAACTGACTTCTCATACAGACTATTAAAATTCATTTTACTTGTTTATAAATGTTAATTTTGTCAATATATTGAATACTTAAGTATAGGCCCTGCAGAAACTAAATGGTAATTACAGAGTACACTGGAGATGTTTTTCACAACAAAGTTCCATACCTATGAATTATTTTGCGAATTAAATTTTTATTAATTTACATATATCTTTGTTTGTTTTATTTTTAATGCACAGTCATCTATAATTTATAAATAATTCCCCCCAAAACATCTGTTAATCATTTCAATACATATAAAGTAAACTACAAAGACATAAGTGTTATGCCTCAACCCTCTATCTACTCATCTCACTCTCACTTTGAAGCTTTGTATTCACACTTAGCAGTTACAGTATTTGGTTCTAGTGTCTGCAACACTTGTGATTCAATTTTTCCTACATGGTTTATAATTTTAAATACATTCCATATACATATAAATTTAACCAAGTAAAACAAAATATAAAAAAGCATTTAAATAATTCAAGTTTTTCATGCAATACATGCACTTGTAATAATTCATTACCATTTTCTCTTCCATGCCTTGAAAATCATCTCCAGTAAAGTAAATATATTTTGATGAGGCTTTTGTGTATAGAACACTGACAGTGTGTCACTAAAGTAGCCTAATCCTACCAACAGGCTTGTTTAATTACTCTATTTAATCTTTATAATCTCACAATTTGTGAATAAACACGGCAATAGACCTGATTCACTTAACTAACACTTTCTTAATACTCTCAGTACTGACAGCCCAAGTCATCACTTAAAGAAGCATACATCACCCCCTGAAAACAAATATGCCTGCAGTCAATGATCTTAGCTCGTGAAGCACTCTCTGAATGCTTAGTATTCACACTTAGCAGTTACAGTATATGGTTCTAGTGTCAGCATCACTTATCCAGTTTTTGCTACATTGTAAGTAATTTTAAATACATTTCAAATACATATAAATTTAGTTGAGTAAAACAAAGTATAAAAAAGTATTTTAAATAATTCAAGTTATTCACACTACACATGCACTTTTTACTATTCATTACTGTTTTCTCCTCTGTGCCTCGAAAATCATGTTTCATTGGCCCTCCAAAAGTACATACATCTTGTTGAGGCTTTTATAGAACACTGACAGTGCATTCTTCATGTAACGAATTCTTATTGACAGACGTAGTAAAGAAGTTTAACAGTTTCAATTTATTCTTTATAATCTCACAATTTGTGAATAAACAAGGCATTACACCTGCTTCACTTTTTGTAACTACTGACACTTTCAATGCTGACAGTCCCATTCACCATTTTAAAGATGTATACATCACCTTGTGAAAACAAATACTCCTACTGTCAATGATCCGAACTTGTGTATTACTATTCTTCATTGTCGCTGTTTACTACATGTTACGAGTACATCTCAAAGAATTATATCTACAATGCACAAAGCTTTCAAAACTTGAGTACTCAAATAGAAATACTTTTATGTGTGAACACATCACTGAAGTATAATATAAAGGTATAATTTACTTTGACACCAGTAGAACAAGAAATTAATCTAAACATTACTAATACCAGTTTTTTCAACAACTTCCAATAAACTCTGTAAATTTGTTTCAAATAATTCACAGCGTATTGGCATTTCCAAAGAATAGAATGGATTTTTAAGAGCAAAGTCAGCATAGAGTTCATATATTCTTTTTAATAAAATGTCCATTCCTTGCTGACTTGGCTCTGAGACAACCATAAACTTAACACCAGTGAGGGTTTGGAAACAATGTAATTTAAATGTGTCTGCCTCCAACATTTCTATTCCTGAACTTTTTGGTTCAGGACTCAATTGACTCGCTATTGCAAAAAGGGGATAAAACATACTCGCAAGAAAAATTTTTTCGTTTGTGGTCATTTTAGGTCGGCCAAATTTTAAATTCAAAGGGTAACACTCTTCATTCTCAATTACTTCAAATGCATCTCGTCCATCATCCAGTTGTCTTGCAGTCACTGGAATACCATTTACTGCCATCAATACATGACCTACCATGACGCCGTCACGTTGGCCAAATGAGACCACTATTTTCTTATTTTCATAATTTAATTTAATGTCCAAAGGATAACTAAATGTCTTCTCTGTTTCTATTTTTGGAACATTATGGTCATGATTGAATATTAATCCACCAGACTTCGACACTATGTATACACCGTAAATAACCATTTTAAGATTTAATAGTTAAACGTCACAAGATTTGCACTGAACACTGTTAACACAATTTTCTCGTCATATTCACCAAAGAACAAGGACAGTGTAATCTGCAGCAAATTCACAATTATCAAACTCAATTCACTGCTTTAATGACTTGCCAAGCTTCAGCGCAATCCAGAACTGTATTGAAATTACTTAGATTTGTACCGTCCAGAACCTGTCATCTGGTTCTCTCCTCCGCCTTCCTCTAACCACAAATAACACGAAATTCACTCTTCAATTGTTTTTAATCGTATATGATGTTGACAGATGTCGCCAAAGGCTCTCCGCCACATCACGCCTTCTAAAAAAAAATACAATTTCTCCAGCGAGGAAGTTTACGGACCACTTGGTAGATTGCGCTAGTAATACTCTATCTGCAATTCGTTGGATCTGGTAATGTTAGCAGCCATTGTCAAGTTTCAAAACAAATATGCGTTTCTTGCGCGCAGTTATGTGTTTCATTAAGCCAAAATTTTATTTCTCCTTCTTTAGAGGTGAAAATATTCTAAGTGTGGCCAGCGGAGTTACGCGAAATATGCACATGGATGAGTCACAATTGAAACTGTACTATGAAACTGCACTTGATTTGACAAGAGGTGGCGGGAAAGTATGGATTCGTTGATAAGCGTCTGGGGTGGTTGAATTAACTGGTTTGTAGGATGCAGGCTAATTAAAACTATTCAATATAATTAAAGAATAGTGTTATGATTGTGTAAGGAATTTTCTTTCAGTATTATGCACAAGATCATGCAAATACACTGATTATTGTAGCTTTAACCATGTATAATTACTTATACAATACACCTATTTCTATGATAAAATATCTCAGAAAGAACTCATATTTACTGAAGTAAAGTAGAATGTAAACAAATATCGTCAATGACAATGAATTTTATTTCCTTTCTAGATGATTCAAGAACATCATAAAAGGAGCAAAAATATTTTAACTAAAACATCTAGTGTTGATTTAGTCACTGAAACTGATCAAAGAGTTGAGAAACATCTTGTATCGTCACTATTGGAAAAATTTCCAGAGCATAAGTAAGTATAATTACATTAGATAATTGATTCTCAAACTATTTCGACCTACCATCCCTTAATGGGTAATAAACTAGACTTCCTATGTTAACTAGCGGCTACTCTGAAAAATGACGTGATTGGGTCAGACATATCGTGCATGATACATAGAAAGATGTGGGTAGAGTTTACATGAATTTAAGTAATCTAAGAGAGAGATGAGGATGACTGTCTTGTGCATTGATGATGAACAGTTAGAAATGATCGCAAGAACTACTAAAAAACTGTCTCACATCTAGTTAATATTGCTTCTCATCGTACGCCGGCCCATGTGTTGTTTATTGGCCTTGATAGCAAGAGCGACGGCTACGGGTACTCCGGAAATTGTCATTGAACATTAGCGGTTCTACCTACCCTGCTAGGCTCCCTCCCTGGGGCAACGAGGGTGGCCACGACCGGGAGAAAAGTTAAGTCAGAAATAAAAGAGCATTCAAATTGTGTTAATTGGGTGCTTTTTACATTCCCGTATACGTACGTATATACGGAGTAATATATACGTTGTATATGTAATGCTGCGGAAAATCGATTTTGAGGTTTCAAAGAAAATACAAGTTTGGAGTACCCTGATACCAAACAAGTGGTTCTTTTCGTAACGTTCACCTGTCCGACTGTCTGCCCGTCTGTCTTTCCTTTCTGTCCATCTGTGAACACTACTAGCGCCGTGCATAGGATTTTTTTTTTCCAAATTGAAGAAATCCCTGTTCATCTGGATCGCGTCAAAGCTTTGATATTTTGAAAAATTTTCTTTAAAATTTAGGGTTACTTTACATGAAACCTCCGGACATTTTCAAAATTTTCTCAAAAACGGCTCCAATTTTTTTCTTTAAATTTCTTGTAAGAATAGAGTAACATATACTTATAAACGTGACATAGACGTGGATGTTCGCTATTAACTCTAAATTTTCGAAAATTTCAAAAGGATGATTTTGTTGGTGTCTTCCTACAGCTACAAAATTAAAGAAAAAGATTTACCTTCAAATAAAATTTGCTCTCCATAGTGAATTCTTTTATTCAGATCATGTACTTAAAAAAAACAACTTTAGTAGTTTTCGCGCAATATTGCGTGCAATATGTGCAATTTTAAAAAATTTCGAAAACAAGATTTTCTCAAAAACGGCTCCAATTTTGTTTCCTTTAAACTTTTGGTAGGGATAATGCTAAATGAACTCTAAGAGATGACATAAACTCCATATTACTTTATTCTTTTCTTTTTTCAAAAATTACAAAAATATAATATTTTTTACTTTGTTTCACGTTGTTAATACTTTTACTAGTGACAATTTGTTCACATTATTTTATTTATGAGTACATGTGCTTTAAATAATGCCAAGTAAAGTTTCTCGAAATCTCAACCGTTTTCTATGAATATTAGATCACAATTCCACCTTTTCAGAAACGCTCAAACGCCATTTTCTCAAAAACGACTTCCAAAATTTTGCTTCAAACTTTTCGAATGGATAGTGCAATTTGAACTGTTTAATATTACATAGAATTATTTTTTCTGTATTTATGTGTGTTCTCAAAAATGTCACAAATGTACTTTTTTTAATATCTCTCACGCCGTTAATAAGCACATTTCTAGCAATTTGTAAACCCCATTGTATTTGTGTGAAAATGTGCTTCAAATGAAGTTTTTCGAAAAATAAAAATAAAATCTGTGAAGAAGGGCTTCAAATTTCGAATTTACACTAGAGCTTAAGCCCTATTTCCTTAAAAACAGCTCCAATTTTTTGAAAGGGAATTGTTATTTAGGACAGTGTTTTACTATTATGTAATATACCTAAAATAATATTTCCATTCTACTATTAGGAAAACAAAAAAATAAGAATTTTTTTAAAAAAAGTACTTTGGGCGGCGATAAATGGCAGCTTAAATGAATGGCAGAAGACAAGTTCGTATAGGTAGCTGAGACCAAAGGAAATATAAAATTAATACGGGAAAGTCTTAGCCATTCTGTAGCACCATTAGTTTATTTTTGTGTTAATTTATCTTCCTCAACAAATATGTTCATTTCTTTTGTAAATAATTTTTTTAAATGTGTTTGGAGTGTTTATATGCTTTTGTAATACAAATTTTTGCATAGAAAGAATGTTTTCAAACCGAGTTTTGAGTGGTTATTGCGGCTCAGCCGTTCTAAATATCCAAGAAGTTTATTAGACAAAATACACTTAAAATTGTCTTAAGAGCTTGTTTCCGAAGTTTCGACGTTTCCTCCCCAGACACTCTGTGTAATGTGCAATTAACCAGGAATCTTTGTCCTCTTTGATTGCTTTCAGGTACATTGGCGAAGAATCAGTTGCCGATGGACAGTTAATTGAGCTGACCGATAACCCTACCTGGATCATAGATCCAATTGATGGGACAATGAATTTTATTCATGGATATCCCAACTTCTGTATATCGATAGGTTTATGGATAAAAAAGAAGCCTTATATTGGAATTGTATATAATCCTATCTTAGAATTAATGTTTACGGCCCAGATTGGAAAAGGGGCATTCTTAAATGGAAATTGTATTTCAACATCTTCTGTCACAGGTATGGACATGAACAATGTACCTGGGAATGTATTCAGTAGTCATTGTCATGAAAGTTGTTCAAAAGCACAACAAATGTTTTTACCTCCTAGATACCTTAATTTAATTAGATTATTATACATTTCTAGATGTTTTCGTGAAAAGTGAAATACTTGTTACTCATAATTCTACCATTCGGGAACGAAAATGTATATTTTTTTCTTCAAATTTTGCTGATTTCACGCTTTTTTATTTTTTTAAAAATGTTTACTCATCTTTTAACTATTTATAGTTAAAATGAGAGGAAGGGATTCTAAAACTCAGGAAAACGTGCGCAGATCTTCTCCCCCCATACGTCACATACAGTTTTTATTGTTTTTTGACTAAATAAATCTAAATCTAAATTCAATGACTAATGATGGAATCGCATTCTAAAGATGATTTCGTGAATATGTTCCAAATTTTGGGTCCGTGGCACGGGAGAGTATTTTGCGGTAGGGTCGGTTCGGATCTGAAACTACTATTAGCTGCGTGTGGGATGTCTCAGGACAACAGTTGTTGCTTCTGCTGCGTTTCTGACCGGGACATTCTAGGGTTCGAGTCCCGACGGTGGCAAATTTTCGACACTGGCTAAGTCGAAATCAGCTTCTGTAGGAGAATTGTAGGGGCCAGTTGCTCTGCCCTGTAGTTTTCTGATCAGGCGAATGGCGCTGCCCTGCCAAACGGGCCGCGAACCGCACGCGATCTTTTTTTTCCCATTCCTTGTCCTATCTTCATCTCTTCTTACATATACTTACACTAACATGCACTACAATGCCACACATGCCGGGAGACCAGTCGGGAGCTTATAGTGCAATTTCTATAACTGTACGCCTCAAGGCCCGCCTTCGCGGTAACATGTCACGGCATTTCGTGTCTTTCTGGGTCGTATCGATAGATGCATGATCGCCACTGTATTCATACTGCTTGATACGGTCGCGACAACTAGTGACCCAACCAAGAAAGATCCGAAATGCAGTGACATGCCACCATGAAGATGGACCTTGAGGCGCACAGTTATAAACATCGCACTATAGAACTTGTCGCGGTTGGGGCAGGGCTCCGCCAAGCGGAGATATCTAAAAGGGGAAACCCTTGCAAGCCGACTTGTAGATTGTCACGGATATCTCCATCTCTCTTCCTGCATGTGAACCGCACGTACAGGACAAAGCAATTGACACACCTGGAAACACAAAGTAACCAGTCAATCAAATTTGTAACAGTATTGAAGTTTACATTCGACGGTTGGAACTTTACGATTGGTTGTCTTTTATAAGTCTCATACTTGTATTTATCGGAATTTTCTTCCTCTTCGATTAATTTTCAGAGCTCGATAAGGCCCTGATGTTGACGGAGTTCGGTAACACCAGGACCCCCGAAAGTATGTCAATGGTTATGGAAAATTTACGAAGATTGCTACCGCTTACTCACGGGTAAGTGATTTCTTCTATATGATACTTCTTCTTACATATCGCTAATTAAATACATCTAGAACGGGATATTAGTATATGTTTGTAATTTTTAAACATATTTTAGTTGATATATTCAGACCTTTTTTTTTGTTTTCGTACATTTTTTGCCAAAATTTAACATTCTTCGGCGAAGGACTGTTGGCACAATTTCCAACTACTCCATCCGTAATATCGGACCGAAAATCATATGCAATGCAATAGCCTCCAAAAACACTGCCGCATAGCAAATGAAAGTAATACTCCACCAACAGCAACAGGCATATCAAAATCAAAATTGCTGCTGGCATCAAGCCAGTAGTTTTGACAAACTACAGTTCTGTGATACACTAGGACGTTTCCCCGAATCACAGTGGCGGCATTATGCTACGCTAATTTACCATTGATAATTACTTGTGTGCACTACCACTTTTACTTTCTCTCTACGTCACTAAAATATCAAATATAGATATTTTTTCCTTAAAGATACATTTTATAGTAAGGCTATGTGCAATTTTTCGAAAATTCGAGTACTTTTCGCGTAATTTTACGTGACTAACGAGAGCTATTCCCTTATATCAGAAGAACGGAAAAGCAAAATCAAAGACACAAATATATTAAACAAGAAAATGTGGAGCAATGCATGTAAGAATTAGATAAAACGTTATGAAAAATTATCTACCAATAAGGGCAACCGTGCGAAAGCACACAAAAACGAATACTGACACTGGAGGAAGGATTTCCCCATCTCGTGTGTGTGTGTGTGTGTGTGTGTGTGTGTGTGTTTGTGTGTGCGACCCATATTTCTCATGCTGTAACCTCTCTCATCCTCAGTGCTAATTTTAATTTATACAACGTAACAACAGTCTGTACGGGGAAGTAGTATAATCTATGCACGTTTTCTTGAGATCCAGAATCTCTACTCCTCTTTTACTACACACATAATTGAACTATGATTAACGATGTTATTAAGCTTGGTTGAAATTTAAAAACTACGAAATTTACTCCCGTACAAAAATAAATTGCATTTGCAAACAAACTGTAGATTTGTTTTTATAGGATTGCCCCTCCCCCCACCCGATCTTTTCTTCCCGCAACCGGTAAATATATTGTTCAACAAAACGTGTGAGTAGTGATGTCCATCGCATCATTTTCTCATTTCATCAAGGGATGCTGAACGAAAAATATGATCGAGACGGGACGGGAGAAAGCAATGAGTTGATCCTCAATCCCCAAAAAGTTATTCCTCGTGATCTACCAGTTTCTCGAGTTTCCGAATGTCACAGCAAAGCAGGAAGTGGCGACGCTATCTTCTACTGTATTAATGTTTTATTTTCGATATGAAAGTTTGTTGTCTTGCATCTGTATTTTGTGGAATGTGAACTCCGCAGGGTTCGGGTGTGTGGTGCATCTGCTTTAAACATCGCCATGGTGGCCATGGGTGGAGCAGATGTATTTTACCAAGCTGGTCTCTACATTTGGGACTTAGCAGCAGGAGTTCTTCTCGTTCAGGAAGCTGGAGGTTTTGTATCTGATCCCGCTGGTAAGTGAATTCTTAAAGTTTTCGATTAAAATCAATTTCGCTCTGAGGTAAGAATGTTTTAATTTTGGTGATTTCTGGCACTACTTGGATATCATTAGTGAGAGGGACGATTTAGAAGATAAGGTACGAATTACCGGGGATTATTGGAGGAACACGTTCCCCCTCTCAGCGATGACATCCATGTCACGTTCTGCTATCAAACGTTGTGATACTGGAAACAAAAGTTGACAAGTTATTTTTTGAACACTGTTCTGTAGCATACAGAATGAACTTGTTCGAAGTATAATTTTTGCGTAAAAATGGCCATTAGACAGACACGTCATTCCTGCTATCCGAAGGCCTTTCACCCGCACAACATTTAGTTTTTTAGTTAAATTAAAACTCTCATTTGCAACAAACTTAGTTTCTATGACTTACCTGCGTTTTGTGAATGCTCTTCCCAATCCGGATGACGCCGCGTCGAAGACTGTGGGGGCGACGTTTTAACCATATTGCTGGGGTCTTCCCCAGGGCAGACCAGTCCTGAGAAAGACTATGTCAAGTTGATCTAAACGTCTGCCCCACAACTTTCGATGCAGTGTCACGCGGACAGCCTAGACCGTTCTCAAGACCCAGCCGGAAGCCTACGACTTCACTTCCGTGCATTTTGTTGGCGGGGTTGCAATATGTGTATCCTTTATCTCATGTATTATTAAAATATGAGCACATTCCCAGCATTCTCGACTCAGTAAGATCAATTTCCTTATAAAAGAATGTTATTTTACATTTCGTAGTTGATTTCTTCCTTACAAGCTGACCTAAAATCAAGTTTTTATATTGACGTTTTCGGGCAGAAATATATTACCCAATAAGGGTTACGTTATGAATTAATAAATGACTGTTACTCTACATTTTACCACTAATTATTTAACCAGTTAAGTAATAATGGATCAATGAAAACTGACATTCAAACACTTCGTTCTTGACTGAATTTGAATATTCCTTATATTCCAACTTCAAAATTTTCCAGAAATATCTCCGGGTTTCTGTCTATTACTTCAACAATTTTTTTTTAAATTTTAGGCGGAAAACTCGATCCTTTGAATCGTCAAGTGTTGGTTGCATCTACTGAAGAACTCGCAAGAAAAGTGATTCCACATATCAAACTATGTGTAGTTGATTAACCTTTATTAGTTGTATGTTACTAAATATTTAGAACAAATATGTAGACTTATATGTTATTAAATGTTTCAGAAAATTATCCAATGTGTTCACTATAAAAAATATTTTGCTGAGATTAGGATAAAAAGGTCCTTGCAATTCTTCTCGTTTTGAAGAAATGTTTCGTCTCTCAAATGCACTAAATCAAAATGTTTGCCTCGCAAAGGAGCAAGAGGTACGATTGTCTGTTTATGACCAAATCTACATCCGGCGCCGCTAGCTGAATTTATTAGAATTTATTTACTGTGCTCTGTGAAGTCACGGAGGTTAAGCCCATTCGAGACCTCGCGGGTACCTGAATGGGTGCCCGTCTAGGAACGCCGGGATCTAACGGCGCCGAGCCCCTGGCCGAAGGGATAAATAGCACAGACTGAATGCGACGTTACGAGACTTGACAATGAAAATAACGGCGGATTATTCCAACGCAGGCGCTCAACGCCCGAAAAGCGGATTCAGAGACGCGACATTTAAAAAAAAAAAATTTTTACGTTCTGTACCTTGTTGGGGTGTACCTCATTCCGTAGCATGGGCTCTCAGAATCTCGAAGTTAGATTTGAGGTTGAAGATGTTTTCCTTTTAAACAATGGCACTGAAAGAGTGATTTCTTTGGCGCTTTATATTTTTTGTGGCGAAAAATTAGATATTTTAGCCACTTCTATTACATTTATGAGAGTTCGACTCAACTGAGAGTAAGACTCTAGCTATTCAGAAATTCCAATTTCATTTGCTAGGAGAGTTACTGCAATGATCGTCATCGTAACTTTGAAGCTAGTGGTGCTAAAATAGCATTACTTTCTCGCCTGTAGTAATGGTTATGTAATACTTTTTATACCACATTTTCACTCCGAATGAACTCATATCGGTCATAGTTTTTTGTAAAACTCATTACAAATCGTAGAACGTTGATGCGAAAATAAATATTTTCAAGCAAATATCACCACAAATTTGGCAATTATAACTGCTTTTCATACGGCTAAATCATGTCACAACAATGAGACGTAATTCATAGAAATTCGTGAGTCGCGACGCGAAACGCCATTAACCCATTCCAATCTGATATTCTTTGAAGGCTAGCAATTTTTTATTTCAGATAGGTTTTAAAGTATTTCTAAAAGATTAATTTATAAGCGAATAATAAAACTCGAAAGTAAGAAACGAACAAAGAAATATAAAATAATATACAAATTCTAACTTGCGCAGCATCCAACTGCGCGGAATTATATCTCATACTACGTTCACGAGGCGTAGGGTATTCGGAGCGTGCTACTAAGTTTGACGCCAATCTTCTTAAAAAATACTCATATTTTCGGAAAATTCAACAAGACCTTATTTAACGATTTGCTTTTGATGAACATATTTAATTTAAAAAATTATCTTTACAATTGTAGTTGTAGGAAAACCCCATATTTTTTTAATTTTCCATAAATCAGGCATTTTCACGAACACCGATTTGCACCGATCTCTTAAGCGACCTCCAGACAACCCAATAACAAAGTTTAATCAAAAACGTTGGAGCCATTTTTGTTTTTAATTTGGAACGTGTCCCAGGGTCTTCATGTAAAGTTTCCTAAAAAATTTAAATACCGGTTTCAAATTCAACGGGCCACGACATCAGCTAGATCAATAGGGGAATATCAATTTTGGAGAAAATCGGCTGCACGGTTTAGCCGCTACCGTTGTTCACAGACGCACAGACGTTTTGCGTTCAGTCAATTTTTCAGGATCAAGGATCTATAGAACATGGATTCTGGCTACACCACATGTTAGAGAATTTATTTATAATTTTTTTCTTTACAGCATTACATAATTTCCTCTCTACCGCGTAAGCGGTAACGAGAAAATAAAAGTACATCATTTATGACAAAAATTCTTTAATACAAAATTCTGAAAATCCTTTAAAATAAAATTTTGACTGGAGGAATTTGCCAGGAACAGGAGAGGAACTTTGGGGAACAAGCTAAGAATGTACGAAAAACATGTGAGTGTATCTGAGACGCATTACTTGCCAGAGAAATATGCCGGAAACACAAGGGAGAACTTTTGAGAAGTGTGTAGTAAGCGTGTGGGGAACACGCGGAGATTATGTGGGAGACAAAGATGGGATAACATGAGGGGGTATTGCAAAGAAACGGAAGAACACCGTTCCAAACGGCTGCGGTTGCTAAGGCAATAGTTCTGAAGTAGGCCGTGTGGCCACTAATTCCAAGCCTGCGTAAGTATGGGCGTTTTTACTCTAATGTTGTTTCCTTATTCATACGTTACTTTCCCTGTTGTACTCATGTAAGTACACCACTTTTATGAACAAATTAAAGATTTTTTAAAACATTTTGAATGTTTGAACAATTTGAACCAACACACTAGTTTCTCCCTTGATTTTATGTTGCAGAATTTAGATATGAATAGGCGTTAATGGGTTAAATCTGTGTATTATCACATTTGTATTATATAAATTAATGAAACGTACTAATTCATTTTATTTTAATTATTAATTAAATTTATTATTATTTTCAATTAAATACATTCAATCAAATTTTGAAAGAATCTTTTTATGCGTTTAAACAATTTCTCAAGTAAAATAAATATTCTATTTCATTAGTTTCAAGCTTTTTGTTGGTCGATTACAAAAAGATATTCAAAATTCCCGCATGACGATTTAGTTCGCAATGAAGCCGCGAAGTAGCGTGAGCACCTCACATGTGTCCACTGGCCCTAGCCACAGGTGCAGAAGCAGTGATTTCGCGTGGTGTGGAGCAGGTGTGGAGGGGGTGTTGAGTATGAATCGTTTACGTCAGTTTACATTCGCACGTGTGCGATAGCACAGTTTGCATTTTGAAAGTGGAAAATTGGTAAAACTTTTAATTCAGGTGTTTAAAGTAAGTTCTGAGTTATCTCAAAGATTGGGATCGTTGTCAGTATTTTTAATACGTTGCCTTTTAACCTTGCAGCTTAGAAACGTTTTTCAAAACAAACCCGTAAAATCAACTTCAACCTTAGCCATTGTTGATTACCCTTACCAAATCCCTTAAATTTCTTCGTTATTGAGATACGTCGTAACGCTGTAATCTACACAATTAATGATATTGAGTTTCAAAGAAATGTCTGGATTTATTTTTTCAGTGAATGTTGCCAGTGAAACCCAAAATAATTTCACTTTAGAGAATGAAAACTCCTTTTGAAATACCCAAATAAATTTCAAAATAATATGTTAATTAATTTTAATTATAGTTGAATAATAGTGCAATGTAAATATTATATTCGATGTTCTCTTAGAAATCAATAAAATTAATGAATAAAACTGTCAGTGCCTTTATTAGAGGAAAGTTCCTCAATGCACACCTTTGGATTGAGTCATTCTTTTATCGTTTTCTTAATTTCAATTGTTTTTAATTTATGAAATGTCGTAAATATACATTTTTGACTCTACTGTCTTCAACATCTAAATTTAAATAGAGTAAGGTAAATCTATGTTTATTTATTTTAAGGCAAAAAACTTATATTTTTGTGTTCTTCCATGGTAAGGATTTTACAAAGAAGAAATTAGTTTATTTTTCATCTTCTCTTACTTACAATGATACTAGTCAAATTTCTAGTCTTTCACTCAAGCCAAATATTTACCTTGCCTTTGAACCTAATCTTTGCATTCACAATACATGCATTACTTCACAGACATTTCAGAAAAAATGTTTAATATTATGTAGTTGAAAAAATGGATGAAGAAGCACAGCAACGTTTTGAGGCCGAATTATGTTGGTGTATACAAAAGTTAGAAAGCTCCCTAAACTCTGGAAAATTAAAGAAAAAACAGGGTATGTTATACAATCCTCTCTCTTCTGCATGTAGCTCACAGATTTTAAGCCGTGGGGTGTTTTCTAAACATTTTATTTTGATTTTTAGTTGAAGATGCTACTAAAACTCTCAAAACTTTACAAAGTTCAAAAGCACCTCTTGTTAAAAAGCGACAAGTAATGAGCGTGCAGTTTGGAAATTATCGGTCCAAAATGGAAGAAGAGGACAAGAAAATTAAAAAAGGTTCAAAAATAAAGGGTGTTTTTGTGCTAAAGAGAATGCTAGTCATTTATATGAAACAGTATATGTGTATAATATATGTAACTATGACAACAAGAGTTTCTTTTTCTAGTATCCGTTCGTAAATGTTGATAAGGTGTTTATCTTTCATTTACAGCTTTAAAAGATGTGAAATTGAAGGAAATTGCACCCAGCAAGAAGTCATCTTTTTTGAGAAAAAGTTCTAAAATAAGTGGTGAAGCCCCGAATATAGATGAATGTAATGAAATGAAAAACTCTGATTTTAAATTTACTCCATCAGATAATAATTTCAAATTCCAATTTGATGAAACTTAATATTTTTTATTGTTGAAATGAAGCTGCACATGAATGTATTTGTAATTATTGTTGTATATATAATGCACAATGTAAAATAAAAACATTTTATATTAAATTATATACTACAATTCAATGAATTGTTCATTACAATAAACTAATGTACCCAAACATTTCACATTTTGTTAATTATTGTTTTTTGTGAGAAAATAACTGTTGTGGAACCCAACTTTGAAAGGCATGACCTTCAATTATGTGTTTCATCTCAAAGGCCCAGTTTTGTGTGGGATTAAACATTGTAATAATGCTATACATTTGTTAACAAACTGAGAGACTTCAAAATCTGTGATGAATTTGTATAGATTATCAAAAACTCAATTTGATTTTACATGGAACTCAAGATCCAGAACATTTCTGACCATCTGTGCCATAGAGTTGCTACGAGCAGTGGAGATAATCCCTTCCCCCTATTAGTAGGCATTTAAAAAACAAACTGATTTTATTTTGAATTATCTATGAATATTCTAAAGTTTATCAATTATAATAAATGATAATAATGCATTGTGGTGTAAAGATGATTTTATTTATACTTTTTTTCATTAACAGATGCTAAATCTGTCTTTTGACCCTTCTTGGATTCCAACTATAAATTCCTGGCCATTTTGTTTGTTGTTGCAGTGTGGGAAATTTGGTTTGTGGTTTTGGGAACTTATTGGTACTTTTGGGTTTTGTTATCCCCAGTTGCAATCGTATTTTAATCCAGCAGCTAGTGCCAAATTTCCAAACACGAATGCTCGCAGTGGGTCTGCGAGACCAAGAAATTCATTTGTTTCCTTAGGAAACCTTACAAATTACTATATGTAATTTAAATGAATACATATTATTTACTTATACTTGGTATGCATTTATTAATAATATTTATTGAGTCACATATACAATTACAGTGTATGACGAGTCAAATATGATATATTTAGAGGGAGTACAATCACGTACATCTTGGGAGCAGCTAGTTAAGTTACATTTATTTTTATTGTCCAGACACAAAACAAGGGGCCATCTCAGCATTTGCTCAAAGGACCAGAGAAATTGGACAAAAAACCTGTTCAAGATAGGGTCATTGGCATAATGATTATAGAATACTTGTTACAGATATATTAAGATATTACATAGGAGATAATTATTTTTAGCAGCAAAAGTTGAACGTTTGACTTACTTTAATGTAATTTAAAATATTTTAATATTTCAAGATTTATACCATTTCATTTTTAGAATATAATTTTCTTGATAGTGATTTTACTGTTACTAAATGTAATAATAATAATAGTAATAGTATAATAATTATAGTAATACTAACAGTACGTGATAACAATTATGGTAACAGCTACATATGGTTATCAGTATTAGTATATTCCTTGATAAAATCTTGAAATGGGGAGGAGGCAGGTTACGGGCAGATTTTTTCCTATTTCTACGCCTAGTCTTACTGCAGCACCTGAAATCACATTGCACATGTTATAGTCATTGGGGTATTCCTGAATGCTATAAAAAAGTTTTTCTCTAAGGAAGTGTTTAAGTTCTTTTTTTTTGAAGTTGTACAAGCGTGTCGTTTTTCTCAGATGTATTGGTAATTTGTTGAAGAATTGTATACCTGAAGCGAATGTACTCTTTTGGTATAATGTGCTTGTACACATTGGTTGATGAAGGTTACATACTTGCCTTGTGTTATAGGGGTGTAAGCTTGAGTTAAATTTGTAAAGTGTGGCATTGTTTACTAGATTTTTTTTTACAAACATGATAATTTCATAAATATAAAATACAAGGCAGTGGAAGTAAGTTAAGTTTTTCGAAATGAGGTCTGCAGGACTCTGTTCTTTTTGTTATTGTTCGAATGATTCTCTTTTGTATTTTGAATGTTTGTTTAGCGTCTGGTGCTTGGCCCCATATTATTATCCCGTATTTGAGAATAGAGTGCACATTTACAAAGAACACTGTTCATGCTGTCTCAATGACGCTGTTTCTTCTTTTCTTCTTCTTCTTCTTCTTCTTCTTCTTCTTCTTCTTCTTCTTCTTCTTCTTTTCTTCTCTTCTTCTCTTCTTCTTTTCTTCTCTTCTTCTCTTCTTCTTTTCTTCTTCTTTTCTTCTCTTCTTCTCTTCTTCTTTTCTTCTTCTCTTCTTCTCTTCTTCTTCTCTTCTTTTCTTCTTCTCTTCTCTTCTTTTCTTCTTCTTCTTCTTCTTCTTCTTCTTTTCTTCTCTTCTTCTCTTCTTCTTTTCTTCTTCTCTTCTTATTTTCTTCTTCTTCTTCTTCTTCTTATTATTATTATTATTATTATTATTATTATTATTATTATTA